ATTGACTTCAGCAAAACTCTGGCCGCAACCTTCTAAGATAAGTCTGAACCCTAATCTTGAGGGTTCTTCCTTCTGACTCTTCCTGATTGCTGGTCATCCTCTGATGCTTCACCAACAATCTCCAAGACTCAGCCGATGATCCTTTTTTGCTGGAAATTTTCCAACCCTAGGAAATTCTTATGCAGCCGGTCATGTCAGACTATCATAAGATTTCCTAGGTTGTCTCTGATACCATGTAGTCGTATGAGACTACTGACAGCTCAAGCTGTGGTGTATAATCAATGGGAAATTAAGAGGACGAGAGGAGAGAATGAGAGGAGAAAGAGAAAAGAAGAGAAAAAGATTTCGAAGGAAGGATTTCAGAAAAGAAGAGGATGCTTAATCTGCTGCCCCCCTCTTTCTATTTATATTAATTGTGAAGTAAGGATAAGACTGCTTACATGGCAAAATTAAAATCCTAATAAAAGACAACAATTAAAGTCCTAATAAAAGACTAACAACTAATTGTGGACTAACACTTAAATAACTAGTAGTTGTATACGAGTACAATAGAAAGAGGTGGGGACCACATAGTAGTTGTATACGAGTACAATAGAAAGAGGTGGGGACCACATCAGTGGTTTCTACATATTTCATGTATTCTCCAATATCTGTTCACTTCTTTGTCATGATAAGCATGTCCTACTAGGAGAGCTATCATGGAATTTTCCATAAATTAAGTGTTTCTGAGCACTTATGTAGGCACGTAACTTGGATGATTTATTTTGATTTGTTTTCTGAATTTGTTTTCTGAATCAAGTCCAATGTAGGAAAAATCCATGTTTAACCTGATTTCTTGTTTGATTGCTAACGTGGCATAATTGCGTAAGATCCTGATAAAATTCATTTTCATGTGCAAGATTTCAAATTAAACTTGATGGGGGCATCTTGGCTATTTATTAATTTAGTTTGAGAGGACAAGTCCTTGCCTATTGGTATCTATTAAGGTTGAATGCCTGAATTTCCTTTTTTTTTTTTGATGAATAATTTCCTAATTATTTTCTCTCAGGCATTTTCAAGATTGTTTCAAATGAGAAAGTTTGGATAGGGAGTCTTGAGAAAGGATCAAAGATTATGCTTTGACTTGTAATTGACATCTATTGTGAATAACTGAAATTTGGTCTAGCCAACATCTGTATGTTGTGCATACTCTTTTATTAGATCTTCTACTTCTGGGGTTTAGGCCTTTAAGGTTGATATCCTCTCCCAAAAGCACAACGATAATCTTTTCTTACTTGACCAAAAACGGATCAAGGAATGGGGGGAATTGAAAAGGTTGAGGATGATCTAGAAGAAAATAATTTTTTCAAATGACCATTCACTTACCAAAACCAAAAGAATATATGTGAGAGAAGTTAGATAGAACTGTTGCAGTCCAATCTTAGACCTTGTCTGAATAGCTACTTGTTTGGATATCTTTCATTAGACTTGAAAATGTTTCCATAACAATTTTTTAAGTGATCTATCCACCTCTTTATGGTTAACAGATACTGTAGTTCTATAAACTTTCTTTACTAACTGAAAAAACAGTATGTATAGTTTGCTCAATAGAAGGGGAAAGAAAAAGAAATAGTGAATGCGAGTAGTATGCATATTATTGTTATTGATGTTCATCCTATATACACCTCTTTTTTCCCTACATTAGTTTAAATACACGCCGTTCCTCAAAAGAGAAAAAAATTACAAATAGTTCATTCAATTGGCTTAACCTGCCAGTTTGTTGCATATCAAAGATTCTATAATGCATTAGATTCAACATAAACCAAAGTTTATTGCTGTCAAGCATGCTCAGTACCAGAATTCCTTTTTGGCTTAAACAAGTCTATTACCCAATGTTAGTCCCTTCTATCAGGGTCTTGGGAGTGATGGGCTACCTAACCTTTGGCATTTTTTTTCTAATATTTTACAGAGTGATTCTCCCAGACTTGAACTTGCATTCTCATGTTTCTCAACCTGAGATGTTACCATTAAACCAAGCAATGGTCTGGCATTTTGTGTTCTAAGAGAAGTATAATTGTAATTATCAAATTCTGCTTTGTGGTAATTTTTCTTATGTATAAAAAATGACTCTTTTCTTCTTCAGTATGGATTTGGGGTCTAGTAGGTTACCCTGGGCACGTTTTGGATCACTATGCTGAATAGTGAGCGAGTATCTGTAAATGTAACTATGCTCATTAAAAAAAGTTGCATCCACAGATCTACAACACAATTGTGTTGTTTCATTTCAGAGCAGTGCATTACTTGTGTGAGCTGTATGATCAATAAGGCTTCTACACTTAATGAGTACAGCTGTGGGAATGAAACCCATATTGAGTTTTCACTCAATTTCCTTTGGTATCACTTCATACTGGGGTTGTGCCCTGGCAGATGACCTAGCTGTGGAAGGGAATGTGCCTGAGGAGGAGGTCCTGTCAGTATTAAATGTACCTCCAGGAAAAATGGGACTTGTCATTGGAAGAAGGGGAGCTTCAATCCAGTCAGTCAAAGAATCTTGCAAGTACTCTCTCTCTCTTTCTCTCGTGTGTGTGTGTGTGTTGTTCGTATGTCAGTTATTTTTCTCTTTTTCTTTATTTCAAATGTTATGTTGCAGTGCGGAAATTCTCATTGGAGGTGCCAAGGGACCACCTGACAAGGTTCGTTCGTGCACTATACAGAACATGTTCAAATCACACTTTTTCGATTCTGGAAAACTCTGCATCCACGATTTTTGCATATCCAGAGTATCATGCAAAAAAATATGTTTTTACTTAGGTCCTAATACCCGGCTTCATGTAGGTATTCATCATTGGACCTGTGAAGCAGGTGAGGAAAGCAGAAGCTATTCTAAGGGGAAGGGTGCTGGAAATGTATTGAGAGCTCCATTGAAATGCCCATCCTTTTCCTGATCTTGTAACTGATGGCTACCAGACCATAAATTGGCCATCCTTGAGACATATACCATGTAAAATTTGAGCTACTTCTTTAACATCTCCAACCTGCCTATCCATAATATGTACAGAGATGATCAATTGCTGTTTATCTCATGTCAGTATTGATGTTTCTAGTGGAACTGTGGAAGTATATTCCCCAATATTGGTGCTAGAAAAATGAGACCGGACTGATGAACTGAGCGGCTTGGCTAAATGTGTTGATCAGACTTTATTAGCATCTGCAGCTTTTGGTAAATGCTTTATATGAATTTATGAATACCAGGGTCCAGAGTCGGGCAAAAATTCTGGACCCATTTTTGGACCATGGTGTCGGTTGGGCTGGTTTTGGACCATCCCAAGGGGAAAGTCGGTCCCGACTCCAAAGATAGGTGTCTATCTATGCTTGGCTTGGCGGTGAACCCAAGTTCATATCTAACACATGTAGGGGTGCAAGTCAGGCGGGTTGGACCAGGTTTATGGTCAACTCGGACCCGATCCTAAAATTTGGGCTTAAGGACTAAGCTGGTGAAGTCCGATCTTCCTAATTCGAGCCTAATCCACCCTGTAATTTAATCACTCGTATTGGACTCGGACCTGAGCTGAGTTTGAACAAGCCGAAAAACTAAAAAACCCTGACTTCTTGGGCCTGAGTTCAGTCTGAGGACCAAAAGTTCAAATTAAATTTATGTCAAATTTTGGATTGGATCAGTTCGGGCTCGGGCTCGGGCTGGGCCCACCCAAGTTGCACCCCAAAACACATGAGACCATGCCAGAGCCAAATGAAAGAGTATGGCTTGGCTGGTCCTTAATTTATACTGACATGCGTCCTTCGTATTTGTTTCGTTGGACCTGTCAAGTTTTATGGATGATGACTGAATTCCAGGAGGGTGTTTGCTTCCGAAATCCTTCTGCGGCGCCCATTTTATATGGGAGTTTGTCGAGTTGCATGTGGATTTAGGCAATTAGTAGGAGGATTTTTTGTCTTTTCGGTGGGCGCGTTTTTCAAGCCCAGGAGCCATGAAAAACCTAGAGAGTGAGATGTTGGCGTTGTGGCGCATTCATGGCCTCCCATCAGAAATCATGAAAACAAATGATGCAGTTGGATGGAAGAAAAGCAACTGGAAAGAATGTAAAATGACCCAACAGAACACGAGAGGTTGAGTTGCCCACATCAGACTGGATGAATCGATTGTTAGATTGAATCGGTTTATGGCCTATTTACCCCCTGAATCAGGTTACATCATACCCTACAGAGGCGTATCAATAGCCTCCCAATACGATACGTATTGATCAATATATATGGCTCAATACAGTTAAAAATTTTGAACCTTGACAAGGACGAGAAGTACGGATACACCCGCTACAAATTGTCATTGTCAGCTTCGACGCTGCTTCAATTCAAAGTTAGAGAGCTTGCAGCCGTGGTTTTTTAAGTTTTAACCTTCAAATGGAGGCTGTGCCCAGAGTGGCCCAAAATTATTTCAGAGGAGTAGGACCATAGGAGAGTTGTTGGCGACCTACAATGAGAACAATTGAAGGACATCACAATCTGGTAGCGACCCATTACGATTACATTCACTTAATGAGACTCCGTCAAGCCTTCTCTACGAGTAATACTTTATTGTGGCCGCGCATGATAAGCGTGGAACATTTAGAACTACTGAAACTGGTTATTGGAAAAACGCTGAGAAAGTGATTGTTCAGCTTGCCAAGGATAAGGGAGCAAGGAAGGAGGTTTTCAGCTACTGGCGATGAGGGATGGCCATGGCTTTTTCAGTGCTTGAGGCCTTGAGCTTTAGCCTATTGAATGTGACTAACAAACTCCGGTGAATGCATCTTCTTATCCTCAAGCCTCTCCGAATTTGACATGACAAGATCACATCGAGTCTTTTGACAGCGGTCACACTTCTCATCATGCGGTCAAACCTGCATGATGGATATGATAACAGAAGAGCTTTAACCAATCAAAACCCTTCTGTTAATTTTTATAAATACTATCCGATTTATTATCATTTTTATGATGATTATTGATTTGTTATATCATGTATTTCTGATATAGTGGAACCCATATCTTTTAGGCTATGTGGCATTCATAAATATATTAAAAGGCTATTTCATAGTCCAATCTCTATATCTTTTAGGCTATGTAGCATTCATAAATATATTAAAAGGCTATTTCATAGTCCAACCTCTATATTTTAGGCTATGTTTGGTTTAGAGGGATAGAAAATTAGGGGTGCAATTTGAATTAGCCCGATTTAATATTTTGCACTGCTTTGGAGCTTGGACTGGAATTCATTCAATTTTTGACAAAATCCCAATCCGAATCTACCCAATTTGCACCCCCTACAGAAAATTGAAGGAAAGCTCTTAATAAAATTTCTTAACAACTTTCCTTCAACTCTTTATTTGTTTCTTATTTTCTCTCAAACCAAGCACAACTTTCATAAAAAGCAGAAAAGATTGGTATGGGTCACATTCTTTCAAAAAAAGTGGATTGCCAATTAGACATATAACCTAAAATTTCTGAATAAAGAAAAAAACAGCCGTATTCGGACGTATTTACCTTGTCAATGGTGGGTCCCAAACAAAATTACAAAACAAAGAAATAGTTGCCCACTCCCAGAAGTCCAGAACCCAGTACCGGGTGGTCATTGATCACTGTTTGAAAGAAGGCAGTTTGATCATTTTAGGATGGCCCACCTTATAAAAATTGCCACTTGTCAATGTTGTACTGGTTAAACTTGATAGATCTCTTTGTCTTTGGAAATTGGAACCCAAAGCAGTAGACATGACGTCCCTGATTCAACCATATGATTAGAGATTTCCGTTATGTTTTCTTTGTGACCAAATGAAGATGACATACAACACAAGTAGTTTTGGTCATTTTTTCTTATTGAAAAGGGAAAGAGAGGATAATGGATGATGGAGTTATAGACAGATCACAGATGGACATGGTCCCACTTACAGCTCTACTGTTGTAATTTCCATTTTCCCATGTGAAAGGAGGCGACCGAGTAGAGGAAGGAACCACTCAGGGGAGGCCACGTAGGCACTACGTTGCTCTGTTCACGTGTGGATGCTAATAATACAACGATGAGGCAGGGTGGGCCCTACCCACTTGGTGGTGTGGTAGTACCTGGGACCATGGGCCAAAGGAGTTGATGAGCTGACCCTCATCCAACCCAAACAAAACTACAAATTACAAAAGCGGTCGAGAGGGAGTTTACTCTTCTCACTCTTCATTCATACTTTATTACTGTAGGAGTAGGCCGGTGAGGTGACGTAAGCCGAGCCGACAGTTCACGTCCTGTAGAAGAAATAACGCGGGAAGCAAGGAAGAAAGCGACGATTCTGTTCCAGTCGGCATTAAATTCTGCAATTTGAGAGAGCGAGCTCAAGGTGAAAATTTTCCGTGGACCACCCTCTCTCTCTCTCTCTCGCTCTCTGACAGAGGAATCGTGGATCTTCAAGGCATACCGTTAATTAAAATCAGTCCAAAAACCTTTTTAAGAGTAAAGAGGAATTCAAATTGATCGAGGAATCTTGGTCTGCGATCCAGGGAATGATTCTGGGGATTTCGTCTTTGCTACAAACAAAGTATAATTTTCAGACGAAGGAGATTTGAATTTTTCAGAGATACAACACGTTTGGCTGTTTGGAGTGGAGGAGTGAATATGTGAAACGCAGTTACGCAGGGTCCATTTCAGTAGTCCCTTTCACGGTTTCACCATTTCATTTGCTATTGCACCTCTCTCTCTCTCTCTCTCTCTCTCTCTCTTCATTTCTGTTTTCGTAAGTTTTTTTTTTATTAATTTATCCCTCCCAGCCACTCGCACGGCTTGATTCATTGGAATGATTAATTGATTTAGGTTAAATTCTGTGTCAAAGTGAGTGGGGTCAAGTTAGTTAGTTCGGGACCGGGTTGGTGATTGGTCCAAGGTCCAACTTGAATTGAATCCAACCTGGACAAGTGGACATCTCCATCCATCCGTGCGCCAGCTGGCAAGCCTAAAAGAACTTCGTAAGTTTCGGCCTAACAGCCTTTCCACGTGGCAAACAAATGCCTTTGTCTTTTGGGTTTCTGTTAAAAACGTAAAACGAATGGATGGTGGAGTAAGTACAGTGGTGAAACCAGAGTAAAAGACGATCGATGCGAGGGGCCAATCAGACGAACTCTACTACGTGATCTGTTTAGTAAACTTTAACTTCTTACCAAATATATAGGCTTGGCAATTTCCTTCTGTGAAAGGTGAAGCATTGTGTACTCTGGGCGTTTATAATTTTCTATAACTTCTCCATTTCTTCTCTCCTACACATATGCACAAGCAACTTGTGCGCAAGATATTGGGTTTCCAAGTTGTGTGTCTCAGCTAGGTGCATACATTTCTATTTCAGGTATTGAATCTCTCTCTCTCTCTTTCTCAACGGGCCACTCTTAAGTCTGAACAAACCTCTAATTTATTTATCCTTTGTTCAGAAAAGGTGAAGAAAAACATTAAGACTTGACAATCAGAGGTGCTGGGCAGTGACAAAAAGAAGCAAGTTCCATGAAAACCGATTCACTGAGTTGTAATCATGGGGTGCATGTGCAATCACTCAGTATATACCCCGAATCCCCCCCCCCCCCTCTCTCTCTCTCTACCCAAGCCACAGTAAGCGTGTATATTTGAGGAGATTATAAAATTAAGAAAAAATAGAATTTGTTAAGTTTGTGTAAACAGACAAACACTTGTGTGTGCTATCTTCTTCACTCTGACTCGCTTGCTTGCCTGCCATTCCCAAGTCCAGACCTGCTACATTACCGCTACCATACATACCACTTTGATTTTTTCAAACTACCTCTCCACCCATTTCAACCCGCACTTAATGTTTCATCTTTAATTTGATTATTTCTTCTTATTTCTATCCTGTGTTACATTTATTCCATTCTTAATTTGCAGGAAGCACCTCTCTCTGTCTCTCTCTCTCTCTCTAACCAAAACACACACAGACAAATCTGTATAAATACGTATAGATATAGAGGTACATATTATGTTGATCAGAAATATGCTGTTTTGAAATGGGTAGAAGATTCATAATTAATGGCTCATGAACCTAGCTATTCCATACATGTGGGCCATCAAGTCATTGATCTCGACGTTTCAAATGGTGGGCCATCTCTTGGATGGAAGAAGTTCTAGGCCTTTGCTGAAAAAGAAGAGAGTTCATGCATCAGTACCATCATGTACCTTCTCAATTTATGTGTCGTCTCTGGGTATATGCACTTTTTTTTTCTTTTGCGTAGAAATAAAAGATCCAATTCTTCACCTTGTACACATTACACAGAGGTGAGAAGTTAAGGGTTTTCTGCTATACATAAAGGATTGTCTACCAACCTAGAAGAATATCTTCTGCAAACAGTAGTAACTCCAATCCTCAGAACCAACCAACCTCCTCCAGTTCAGATCAGTGCTCATTAGAGCTTAACACCATTGGAAGGTGGGTAGGAGTTATATCCTCCTGCATTTCATCAATATTTGCAGGTACAAGGACATTAGACCCTTTCATGGGTCTAGTGAACGGAATGTACTGTACAAGTATGCTCTAGTTGCAGTAAAACACCCACAGTATTAGAACGTAAAATACAATGATGTTTATGATGATTAAAACTATGATTAGTTCACTTTTTATGGAAAGAAAGTGGTAGTGCTCCAAAGCTGGACACTGTTACTGCTGTTTGATCAGACATTACAGTTTACAGAGCGCATGAGTAGCAGAAACAACCGAAAGGAGTTGCAGAGCTTTTCCCACTTACTGTTATTGTTAATTAATTAATAACAATTTTCAACATGGTTCTCAGAATTCTCATGCTCCCCATCTACAATTTTACTCCCAAACCCCAACCAAACTGACATAAAGGACTCATCTTTTTGAAACCCAAGACTTCTCCTTAGCCGAATCATTCTTACATTAATTTTTATTTTATTTTTTTAAGCCCCTCTCATATTTTACATGTTCAAGTACTACAACTACTACAAATAGTAGATGGGACCATCTGTCCTTCCTATATAAACTTATCTCTCAGTCTATATTACATTGTTCCTTCAAGGAAACCCGACTTTGATTTTCTCTCTGTTCATCTTCCTCTTCTGTTCCTTCTCTGGTGTCTTTGTGTATATGTTTTCATCCTGTTTGAATTCTTTGAAAATCTTCGGGACAAGTTGCCAAAACTGACGACGTCAAAGATGACTGTATCTTTCCTTATCACAGTTATCATGATATACAATAAATGACTGTTAATATTGCTGGTAACCCGTTTCACATAAGGTGGTTCAAAGCTGAGTTTCAGTTGATCATCAACTTTATTTCTGTTGTATTCTATTTCGTGAAGCTTTAAACGAGGGGTTGTTTTTGGTAGTTAGCTCGCTCTTCACGCTTTCCAACTCGAGTGGTAGCCAGATCTTCGACAGGTACCTCTGATGCAATCATCAAGTTTCTTTTTATGCATCACAACGCTGATTCTGAGTTTTTCAGTTCTTCAGATGTGCTTTTTGTACTTGGCATGATATACAACTTCAAGCTCTCTTTAGTTTGCTTAAATATCTAATCCTTCTGTTCTTGTTAATTAACTGGATGCTGCAGTTGTAGAAGAATAGTCTAGTCGAGATCGAAAACCTTTTCAACCTTGAATTTCGATCTGGTGATGGATTGTCTGGGTTGGGACGACCCACCGCTATGGAGCAATGAACAACATGAAATTGGAGAAGGCTCCATGGCTTCTAATGCCAATGGTGGAATTCTTGGTGGCAAGGTGGATCTCTACGAGGGTGTACTCTTTGATCCAAACATGGAGCTTCGAAGAACGAGGGTGTACGACACCAGTTCAGATTTCGAAGGAGTAAGCAAAATGGTCCAGCAGCTAGCTCCAGTCTTGGATTCCATAAATGCAGTAAGGTTAGCTCCCGATACAGTTCTTGCTAGTTCAGGAACTGGCAGCACGTGGACGGAGGCTCTAACTGCGGAGTTAGGCTCTTCTAATGTGGTCAGCAGTTCTTACGGCCTCAACCCACTGAATGATATAATGGCAGATTTTGGCGTGGTAGATCGATTACGAGTTGTCAGTAGTTCTGTTGGAGCCGGCAGGGGCGGAGTTTCTGGCACAGCTGGTTCACTTGAATCCCTGGACTGCTTACTGTCAGCAACTAACAGCAGTACAGACACATCGATGGAAGACGACGGTATTTCTGTGATCTTTTCGGATTGCAAAAATTTATGGAATTTTAACTGTGGTGGTGCTGTTTCATCGGGAGAATCCGAGAACAACGGTTCTAATGGCAGCAACAAAGAGATGGGCTGCCGGGTAAATGAGCTTGATGAAGCAGTCTCACAGGGATCTTCAAATCCATGTGTCAACCATGCCAAATCTTCAGATGCTAGGCCTGACTCTAGTAAGAGAAGCAAGGATGAACAAGAACTCAACGTGGGACCGAATAATCATTATTTCAATCTTCTTCAGTCAGATTCTTCCACAACCGAGGGCGGTTTTCGGCTCATCTCGGAGAATCCACCTAAATCAAAGAAACCCAGATTGGAGAAGCAAAGGTCATCAAACATCAACTTCCAACAGCCGAATTCTTCTTCATCTTCAGCTGTTGAGCCAGATACCGAGGCCATAGCACAAATGAAGGAAATGATTTACCGAGCTGCGGCTTTCAGGCCTGTGAATTTAGGCTTGGAGGTGGTGGAGAAGCCCAAGAGGAAGAATGTCAGAATTTCAAGTGATCCACAAACTATGGCTGCCAGACATAGGAGGGAGAGAATAAGTGAGAGAATCAGGGTGTTACAAAGGCTGGTTCCTGGGGGAAGCAAGATGGACACTGCTACTATGCTTGATGAGGCTGCAAACTATCTCAAGTTCCTCAGATCACAAGTCAAAGCCCTAGAAGCTCTTGGTCACAAGGTCCCAGATGCTGTAAATTGCACCTCCACCAATCTTCCCTTCTGTTCATCACCATTGAACCACCCTTTTCCCATGCAAACATTTTTCTCACTTCCAAAGCCCTAAAGATTCCTTCTCCCACACCCAAATGAGCAAATATCGTACATACTTCATTCCAAGTAACTATTAACCAAACTCCGAAGGAGAAGACCTAACCCAAGACCCAAAGGCCCAAATTGAAACCCTTGTCTTCATCAATGTTACATCTTTCTGTGATCAAGGGTTTTTGGAAAGGCATTAGCACACTGCACAACCAGTGAGCATGAAAAGGTTTATCAATTATCACTGTTGTGAGAATACCCACTTACCAAGAAGAAAAAAAAAATAAAAACAAAGGAGAAAAATAACTTTCTCATACGAAAAGCTTAACAATTATAACACTTATGATTAATATCAAGGGGTTAGATGCAGAAAGTTGTAGAAAGTGGTCATCACTTCTTTTTTTTGTTTTTTTATGTTCTTTGGGTTCTTGCTTGTACTTAAGCTAACTTTTAATATATTGGAGATCTTTATGGGCTTTTTTTAAATGTTTTATGTCATCTACACGATGCAAGGGAAGTGACATTCTCTTATATTAGGGCCTGTGAGCCCTAGTCAGTCTGTCTCCCTGATTCAAGCCAAGGCGTGCTCTTGAAATTCACTCCGACCCCTAGTGTCAAGCACGTGTAACCTATATTACTCTGTTTTTGGCAGATGGGCTTGTCATTGATGCATCAATTCTACCATTTCTAATCTCAGATATTTTTATAGAAGGTGATGATAATGCTGAGGTTGGTCATGGTTTATTTTATGTGGTTGGCTTGCCTGTCTCTCGCTGGAATCCTTTGATAAAATATCTGTTGCAAAAGGCCCGGATTTCTTTATTGTTGTATTATCTCTATACAATCTCCTTTATTTTCCTTTCAAATCGAGAATAAACATGGTGTGCAAAATCTTGTGCTTGATCTTCACCTGGGGATGTTTGACTTCGTATGTATGAGAGAGAGAGAGAGAGAGGTGTATCACAGCACTTGACAAATTCCGGGTCCATCTTAATTTTTATATTGTCGAGAGGATTCGTGTAATTCATTTGTTGGATTTCCTTTTCTGAGGGTAGATCAAAACATGGATTGATAAAGCAAGAAATGATTTGATAGCTCATAATTTAACAATAGATGAAACACTGATGAGTGAACAAAACAAAATGGTATTCATCAAAAAAAAAAACAAAACAAAATGGTGGGAGCAGGAGGGGCTGTCTGTGCATTCCAGCTTTGAATATTATGCAAATTCATTGGCTCAATCTATTCAAATTTCAAAGGTAGATATCTTTTCTGTTGGACTGGACCCAAAAGTCTGTGCATTGTTACCATCTTAGTATCTTATCGCAATAAGTTGGGCAATGAATGCATGCATGAAACACGACGCCATCATGATGTATCGGATAGATCTTTGAAACCAAAAATCTGAACTGACGTCTATAACCATGCAGTCCACATGTTTAGTTTTGTTGGGCATTCATAATTTTCTCAGGATTCGTTTGATTCGCAGTCAGACGGGTCTATTTGGTTCACTGCCGGAATCCCAATCACAATCTCTCGGAATTGAATGGAAATGGCCTATTCCTATAATCTGTTTGGTTCAGACAGGAATTAGAATGAGAATCAGAATCAACTGGAATGGGATTTCATTCAAAGGAGAGGAAATGCCATTCCACAAAAAAATGGCAGTGGGATTCTAATTCCGCCCAATCAAACAGTTAAAATCAGAACGGTTCATTCCGATTCCAAACCTCTATTCTCGTGAACCAAATGGGCCAAAATCAAAATTGAGATTAGAGTGGTCTATTTACCTGCCTGTTTGGCTTAGATGGAAATTAAAATTGATTGGAATAGATTCCCATTCCCAAGGGAGAGGAACGAGAGTAGGTATGTCACTCGAGTAGTCTAAAATCCAGTGGAGGATAAAGCATGGTTCTGTGAAACTGACTATTACCGATGAGCAAATTCAGGAATAATCAAACAGCATGTATATGCAAAAGGAATCTCTCTTCCATTGAATCTCCAAGGAACACAGACACTCTAGTTTCTAAGAAGAAAATTACATAATCCTGAAGCAATGCAAGCTCTTTCATTTGACAACTACACAAGTAATCGTCAGTTATCACAACCTGCCAACCAGAAAGAAAGCCTTCGTGGTTCTGTGAAACTGCTGCCTCTTGCTGAAAATTTCTTGGCCAGGAACAGATTTCAAAGGATTTGCTCTTGACTGAGTTGTATGGTTGAATTTCTGGAATAACTACAAATATAATGAAAAAAAAGGCCTGGCTATTGCCATCATAGAGTAAACAACATGCAATTATCAATCATCATTTGAAGCTATCAAAATGTTGAAGTTGTTGACTGGGGTGAAAATAAGTCATTCTCAGCCATTTCAGTTGAAGGCGTAAATCCAGATCTACCAAGACCTGACCCTACCCCCATGGCTTTTCCCATGAAAGCTGAATGGTGATCCCTTTTTCTTCTCAATTGACCCATCACTGAGGCATCCTACAATTCCAGCATTCACTAGAGATATTTTCTTGGCTGCTCCATATTGGAATGGAAAGCCACTAGATGTGGTGATCCAGCAATCAATCTTTGAACCTGTTAGAAAATCAAGAGTTTACTCAATCGTTTTTCTTAACCCCAAACCGAGTAAATAAAATACCTGCAATGGGTCTGGACTAGCTAACCTTTATCAACCTATGCAACTCGAATACCTGCGCTGCAAACACCTTTTGTTGGCTGCATGGATAAACATCAAAAGGATCAATAACTTTATCACATGAAATTATTATAGACAACAATGGGACGAGAGAGAAAGCTGTTCTAAATAGTTGAGTTGACCAATTGTGACCAGAAACAGAATGCAATCAAATCCCCTGCTTAAAGATAGGATCGTAGGATATTAATTTTCAGCGAGTCTAAATCTCAAATGGCTGAATTTTCATACTGCTGATCTTTATAAAAAGTGTCTTGCAACTGATGGGCAACAAGTTCTTACTTGACAATTGTCCTCCTTGCATTCCAGAAATGCTTTATCCCTATTACTCCTACAACATCATTAGGAGATATGTCCATGCCCAATACGGAATCCACCATGGAGCACTTGGATGCATCACTGTTTCTGTCCACATCTCCCACCTGTAATGATTCATGCACCATCTCTTCATGGTACTTCCCACCATTTTCATCCCTCTCAGGATTTCTGTGACTATTACCAGGTGATGCCTCAGAACATGGTTCATTTCTCTCCCTTGAAATGTTTTCCTTCTCCACTTCAATGGACTCAACCAAATGAGCATCAGTATTTCCATATTTTTCAGGAAACAAAGTAGATCCAATTTTTTGATGTGTCTCTTCATCAGCATCACATAACCTCCTGGAATCATCCACCTGACTATTTTGAAGTTCTTGATTTTCAGATGTCTTGTCATTGTTTAAGGGTTCCACAATATTTTCTCCCATTGATGAGACAGATGCAGAATTTTCAGCACGGTGTATACTAGTCACAGTTTCTTTCAGGTTCTCTTCAAAATGGTTTCTTACATGTTTTGACCTCATATCTGTTGTTCTGGTTGGTTTCTGGTTTTTATCGCAAGCATTCTGAGGTTGCATTGGTGAACTGCAAGTAGCTGCTGCAGTTTTAAGTGGACTGTTATCTGTTGCAACTGTAGAGTGGCCTGGATAGGTTGAGATGAAGGGAGAAAATCTTTCCCTGCTTGTGTTGGGAAGATCCTTATCAGAACAAAGAGAAACTCGAGAATGAACAAAGGCAGGAGCCCTAAGATCATCCTCATCCCCAGGCTTCTGTTTCCTTGAGTTGGACAAGGCATGTGAGCAGCATGAATTGCGATCATTAGTTGATAACAAACCCATAGTAACATTTGAAGGTCGATTATTTGTATTTGTTGTAGATTTCCTATCAAACTCTGCCATGGCACCACTCAAGTTTACTCCATCAAAACATGGATGAAGCTTCTCAGATGAATGAGTAGGTGTGGGAGGTGGAACGTAAAATGGAGAAAAGACACTTCTTTCATGACCTCCACCCTATATCCACAAATTACACAATAAAACCAGGGATCAAAAAAGAAACTGATCTGTAAAGGTGAATAAGCTTATTGAATTTCATTTAAAAAACACGATTCGCATTAAATGGGTGCAACAACCACAAAGAATGGAATTTACATCCTGATTCCTGAAACAGTTATGCTCACAATAAGCAACAAAGACTTCTTCCTTTCCTCAGAAGAAGCAGTTATTAAGCACCAGACACATAAAAACGTCCAAGAATTGTAAGTTAACAAACCCATAAAGAATTCTTTTTTCTCCTCAAGACTGTTTAGGAAATGCTCCCTGTTTTACACAAGTATATTAAGACATTTTTATCAGTAATAAGTATTTTAAAACTTCATTGGATAGAACAATAAGTGCTCCCAAGAGCTAAAGAAACAAAGGTCACTGTTGTAATCTAACTGAATTTCCTGTTTTTATTTATTTATTTTAAAAAGAACGACTATAAAGGAGAAGCAAATTAGGGAAACACCAAACATAAACTCACTGTTCCTAACTTTGTCAACAATGCACTCCATAATGTTTAAGGTGTAGCCATATGATACAGCAAAAACTGACCACCACTCAGAAGATACCAGGTGGCACCAAGCTGGGGGCGAAACAGGAATTTCACTGAGTTGCCAACCACAATGAGCCCCAGTGATGGCTGCACGTCAATGGCAAGTCAAGTAGTGCAGAGAGTAAAAGGCAGTCATTACAAGCGAGAATCTCAGACCGACCAAGAGTGGCCATAACTTCTATGACTATAACGCCCACTCTATAAATAGTGCAACCTTCCCAAGGTATGAGGACTCTCTTTCATTCTCTATTCTCACTATTCTTCACATGCCTAGGCACACCTCATCAGCCCACCAAGCACTTCATCTTGCACTTACTTCCATCTCCATGCTGACTTGATTGTCAGAGGTCCTGCCCGAAGACCAAACTTTGGGGTCCCTAACGCTTCTTTGTGATTCCAGATCACTAGAGTCAGAGCAGCGTCCCGATCACTCCTTGTTGCAAAACCAAACAGTAACAATTGGCACCATCTATGGGAAACTAAACAAGAAACCCATTAAACTCAACAGACCAAAGACTCAGGGCAAACACTAGGAACGCTTGTACTTTAAGGAATTGATCCAAACACGCCTCTGCTTCCTCAAGGCGTTCATCATTGTCACCACCACACCAAGCTCAGGTAATTCAGGAACATCTCCATGAGTTCATGCAACAAGTCCAGGACCTTACTGCCAAGGTAAGAGGTATGAAACAACCAGCAAAAGGTTGACCCACCAGTGGTCGACTTACTCATAGCCATACAGGTCAAAGGGGGAGAACTCTCGCTATTGATGTATTGTTTCACAGGGATGGAACTTGGAAGTCTGTCAACTTGACATGCTGCCAAAGTCAAAACACTCCAAGACTGAGACTAGCCCAGTCAGAGTCAGGGGAAGCCAATCTGAATGGCATGCACCAAGAAGGAATCATGACCAAAGGCTTACCAAGCTGGACACCAAGAATAGTGCAATTTTAAAGGAAGTTCAAACCAGCAGAAAACACAAAAGGACAGACGACCCAAGGCCAAATGAAGGTTATATGAAGAGGATGCTCCGCTCCAAAGACTCATCCAAAAGACCAAAGACTCTAGGCTTCAAAAAGTACGCCCCCATCAACATCATGCAAGCCCAGATCTTGATGCACAACTAGGACAAAGAATACGTCCACTAGCCCGAGAGGATGAAGGCAAAGGCGAAAAAAAGGAGTCAGAATAAATAATATGACACCTAGGATTGTCGCCAATTGAAGGATGAGATCAAGGGTCTATTAGATGCAGCTACCTCGGAAGTTGTCACTGACTGACCCGATGACCAGAACTGACCTGCAACAGGTAGGGGTGTTCACGGGTTGGGTCGGTTCGGTTCGGTTGCAAGCTGTTTATCCAACCAAACTGACCTGGTCAGGTTGGGGAGTTGGTCACCCGAAACCGACCGGCTAGCTCGGGTTGTATCAGTTTGGTCAATCGGTTCAAAAGATTTAAACTTAAAAGTTAAGTTTAAAAATTAAATTTAAATTGAAAAAAAAAATTGCAATGGTATTATTAAAAAATTAAATTTACAATATAAAATATTTTAGACTAGGAAATATGAGAACTTTCCCACTTTCCCATATTAAAAATTTTAAACAGCCAAACTGGTAGGTTGGTAAAATTGTAAACCAAAGCCAACCAAAAATACTAGAAAACCGACCAACTCGGGTCGAGTTGGGTTGGATTGGTCGGTTTCATCGGTTTGATGAACAGCCCTAGCAGTAGGGGTCATGGACTGATTGGGTTAAGTGTTTGCTTTGTAAATTTCTTTTGAGTTATCAATAAAGTTGTTGTCACAAATAACTAAACATGGGGTGTCAATCAAAACCGACCACAAATAACTAAATCAACCTCAAGGATAAACTGATCCCCCTATTCAAAAAGAACCAAGCAGGGAACAAAGGCAAAGTTGGCCCCAGTCCATGCATAGCTAGCCAAACCGCTATACAATTACAACCTGTCTTTGCTCAATGGGTACAAAACACCCATGCTTTAGCACCTGGTGCAACAACAAGCACCAGCTTGACTTGGGGGGGTGGTGATTTAGTAGCAGTAGGTGGCAAAGTCGCTTTGTTACCTATTCCATTAGGAACTGCAGATTTTTTGGTACATCACAAACTCAATTGGATATGAAAACCAATCACCTCACCTCGGCCCAATTGATGAACAGCCCTAGCAATAGGGGTCATGGACTTATTGGGTCAAGTGTTTGCTTTGTAAACTCAATTGGTTATGAAGATTAATCACGTCACCTCGGCCCAATTGGGGACATCGGCTGAAACTGATCTAGACTAAAAACAATTAGCACCAACTTAGCCAACCAAATGGTCAAAGTCGACTTTAATGCCCTGAGGCTTGGAATGGGGACACCAATCACCTATCCTTAACCTAGTCCATCTTCATGTACAAGCTAGGATGACCTTTAACTCAGCTCAATCCATCTACATGGATGGGCCAAGGTGACCTTCAATTCAGCTCGGTCCATCCCCATGGATCAACATGAATACTTGACGAGCTAGGGATCTAACTGAAGTCTTGACCAAGGTTAGGCATGATAGAGATCAATGAGTATACAATCGACCTCAGTTACATACCAACAGAACTAACTCAGTTGGACAAGTAGCCAACACGGGTTTGCCCTTTTGAGGCATGCATCAGTGGCTACCTCTTGAAGTCCTAACTCGGGTTAGGCGTGACAATAACCAATGACATGCAACCAACCTTGATTACATGTCGACCAAACTTAGTTGGACAAGTGGTTAACACTGACCAACTTAAGGCAAAGCGTTGATGCTCACCTCTTCACCTTAGGTCAGATGCTCGAATCAAAAACCCCAACTAGCATCGGGATAGGGAACGACCAACACAACCACCCCTTTAACTTTGTTGATTCAAAAGGACAGTGCTGAAGGGATGAGAGATCCATCCTATGGACGCCCAAAGATTGCGGAATAAGGGGCGAATTTCAAAAATTTTATCTCTCCCTTCAACTGGGAATCGTATTCCCTATTTAGAAAATCATATTTTCAAGGATCAATCTTGAACCATAAACTGAACCAGATC